ACAACTACCGTGGACCAAAGAAAAGTCCTAAGCATAGGTCTTTGGTGGTGATGTTGAATAAGACACCATTGGTGGTGCCATCAAAGACCGGCACTTTTGGTCTTCGTTGCGATAAAATAAAATTAAAAAAAAAAGTGGTGAACTTTACTATGATACCCTCAAAACTCACAAACTCAGAGTGTCCTGTTGCCAAAGCCAATTACCATGAAGATTATAAGCATTATTCTCCACAAATGTCAAAATCATGGATCCAAAAGTAACTTTATTCATCAAAAGGAAAACAACAGAACCAACCCCACCGTCTAATAATTTAGCCATAAATTATTAAATGTGGAAGAAGCACAGTCACATTTTCAAAAGGAAAAATTGAAAAAAGTTCAAAGGAATCATCAGTAGTGCATCACGTAGCAATCATAACGAACAATGGCATCCCCTGTCTTGTTATCAAGCCAGTGAGTCCTTGCCTGAACATACCCTCTTGCAAACCGGAAAAGTCCGCTTCCTCCGATCACCGGCATCTCCCTCACCTCTGCAAACACTGGGTTCCTTCCCAGGATTGTAATCGTGCTTCCATTGTATTTCCCTTCCATGAAAGCAAAATTCATGGCCATCAACAGCCCGACTCCCTCCTGCGAAGCAGAGGAGTAAAACCCTTGTGCCTTTCCCACCATCTTGGAACTCATTTTTGGCCCCAGCGTCAGGGGATTGTCGATCATGTTTATCAACCCAAAAAAAGTCGATGAATTGGTCACCGGCTGGACAACTGGGATTGAACTGGGGTTGCGGCCGCTGACTATGTCGTGCCAGTAGAGGCGGAAGTGACTGAGTTTTTCTTTCTTCACACCTAATAGCTCCCTGTCCACACTTCTAACAAACGTTTCTTCATCTCCTATGGCTAAATTTATGGTGAAAAAAGAGACGATGAAGAAGACAGTGAATTGGGTAGCCAAAATGGGGAAGATTCTAGCCATGGAAGGACTTGAGAAGGAACTCTCTCTTACTGGATCAAGAGAAACTTACTAGATGTGCACTATTTTTTTTGTGTTAATAAGGTCATCAAAATGACCAAAATCATGGAATTGTTGTTGGCATGTGGAATCAACTAGTCAATCCTGCATAGTGCATATAGAATTTTCAAAGTTAAAATTCTATTTTGGATCCTTTACTTTAATAAAAAATTTCTTTTTAATTCCTTTATTTTGAAAAATCTCTTTTTAATTCTTAAAACTTATTATCTGATTCCTTAATTTTAAGAAAATGTGTAAATAAAAATACTAATTTT